GGAGGGTCGGAGAAAAAGAGGAAGACCTCCAACGAGATGGATCGGCCAGGTGGCATCATTGATGGACTCGGGGGTGGCAGCGGTGGTGAGGTTGGCCCATGATCGAACATTGTTTCGTTCTGCTGTGCATGGAGTCGCTATGAGTCGGTTCCGACTCGATGGCACCTGACAACAACAACAACAACAACTAGATGCACTGGGATACACATACACACAAAGACATGCCTCTCAGACACCCACATGCCATCAAATGTGCTGATGGACATGTGATTTCAAATGGAAGAGGAGGAACTTGTAGGTTCCCACAAATCCAAACACACATCAAGATGCAAATATTCAGATGGAAATATATGCACATGCACACTCATGTCTGAACATACAGATACCAAAACTGACAGGACACTCCTACACTTCTTCCCTGAAACCTGCCCCCCCAGACAATCTTCCTACCCCATCACTCATCCATCTGTCCATCTGTCCATGCATGCATCTATCCACCCGTTCATCCATCTGTTGTCCATCCATCTGTCCATCCATTGACCTTCTTTTAAGGGCCCCCTGTTTGACAGGAGGAAGCACAGTCAACCTTCTAAAGACACAGTCTCTGACCCCTTGAACCTGGTAGCCCATCTTCCACCCTTGCCCCTTCCAACCCACCCTCTATGATACCTTTATCCACAGTGAGGGCTTGCGCATGGAGGGGCTCTGAAGAAAAGAACTTATGACCTCCCCCACCCCAGCCCCATCTCTGGAACAAAGTTACATGTCTATTGATGGATTGGGGCAATAAAATGTCTCTAGTTTTCATTCCTGTGTGACACACAATACAAAGAATAAACTCACATTGTTTAGTGGCTATTTGCCCTTGGGTAAATTGGGCTTTGGTGAATGAACTCATGATGACCGTAAAACAGCCCCATGAGGTAGGCACTGTTATTTCCCCATATTACAAATGCAGAAATTGCTCCCTGAAGCTCAGAGGAAGGAGTGGGGTGGTTGAACGTCAGTCAAGAGTCCAGGGTTCATGTTTCCATTCTGCCAGTGACCAGCTGTGTGGCCAGGAGTAAGACTCAGTTGAGATGACTGAAATTGGGGAGCTGGTTGACAGTGAGTGATCAATAACTGGGACCCCTGAATGGAAGCACCAGGTGCCTTAGGACCCAGCCCTGAGGAATGGGGAGCCTCAAAGAGAAAAAGTTGCTGTTCTCAAAGAGTACACACGGGCTTTGTGGAAGGAAGACTGTAGTGTTCACACAAGTGTCAGCCCTGTCCCAAATTAAAGGATGGGTTTTCCCTGTCCATCCTTTTCCATTTGAAAATGACATGTTCTTCTCCAAATGGCATTAAGTTTCCTTTCTAAGCCTGGAACTCCCTGGAGGACAGAAATCCACTGACCCCCGGTATCTGTCACAATAACCCAGCTCCCTCCAGCCCCAAGAAAGAGTTCATTCAAAGAATCATCAACATTTTTATCAGCAGCACCCTCAGAGTTATTTTTGTTACTCTTTCCTTCCCCAGCCCTGGACTTTATTCATCTCACTTAATGTGTATGTGGTGTCCTGGTGTGGTGCTGTAGGACACCCAACAAGATTGGCAGTTCAAACCACCAGCTGCTCCTCAGAAACCCTATACATCAGGGGTAGGAAACCTTTTTTCTATCAAGGGCCATTTGAATATTTATAACAGCATTCAAGGTCCATATGAAATTATCTCCTTAAATATGAGCCTGCTGTATTTGGTCAAATATTTAATTAGCTTACCCCTAAATGGACTGTGTTTGCACTTTCCCTGATTTTTTTTTTTTTAAGGTTTTTATTGTGAATTGAGTGAAAGTTTACAGGGCACATCATCAGTTTCACATTCAACCATTCATATGACTTGTTTCATTACATTGATTACAATCCCCTCCAAACATCATCAGTTAACAGTGTTTCTCTCTATCCTCTTTAGCTTTTTTGGGGGGTGGGGGTGGGGGCAGAAAAACTTTGCCTTTTTGGAATTTACAGTCTCGGCTTTTAAGGAAGGTTTTTACATTTATCTGTGGATATCCAGGGCTCACTTTCCCTGATTTTTGTTGTTCTAATTTTGGACTGCTGGTGTGATGCTGTAGGATCAACACTGAACTGTGAACCACAAGGTCAGCAGTTCAAACCCATCATTCACTCCTTGGAAACCCTATACAGGAACGCTATGGGTTGGAACCAACTTGACAGCACTTAACAACAACAACGGAAATGTGATGGCTGGAACTTTGGTTGCCTTGGCAGACCAAATGATTTCGTGGGCTGGACATTCCCCATCCCTGCTATACATGGTCGCTATGAATCGGAACCAACTTAATCGCAACAGTGTGTATGCAGACAACCCTGAGTTAATACTGGCTTCCTTGTCACGTAGGTTTGGGCAAGCCACTTAACCTCTCTGTCCCTCTGTTCTGTCCTTTGTAAAATGAGAATGATAATAGTAACTCCTGCACAGGGTTGCATGAAGAGTGGGTGAGTTAATGCGTGGAGAGTATTTACAACAGCAGCCACCTACAGTAACACTCAATGAAGTGCGGGCCGTTAGAAGAACACCCATCAGGTATTCCTGGTGTCCAGGAGGAAGCTTGGCACAGAGCCCAGGCAGCTGCCTCCACTTCCTTCCCTTCCCTTGTACCACAGAACTGTGGTGATACAGTGCCTTAGTCACCTCAAGATGGGGCCAGTCGGGGGTCAGCACTGGCTTCTTCAGAAATTACAGACAGGGAAGCCAGAGCCCAGCAGGGCCTAGAGACCTGGGCTCCAAACCTGTGAGTAGGGTGTCCATGCCCCACTCTTGGCTCCGGCTTTCCAGCCTATTCTGGTCAAATAAGGATTCAAAGCCCCATTTTACTGAGGCCCAGAGAGTGCTCATGGGCTCAAAGACTTCCAGCAGTGCAAGAAGGGACCCTTCTAGCTCTGGGTCCAACATCATCCTGCACAG